ATGAACTAATGAATTGAAGAGTTGATTCTTTACAAAATGAATAAAATTGATAAATGTCTAGTCAACCTTATTAAAAAAAAGAAAGGAAAAACTCAAATTCCTGCAATGAGGGGTGAAAACGGTGAAATCACTACAAATCCTGTGGAAATTGAGAAGATTATCAATACCTATTTTGAAAATCTTTACTCACATAGGATGGGAAACACAGAAGAAATGGACAGCTTCCTAGAAATATATGAACTACCAAAGCTGAATCAAGAAGATAAAAATTCTGAATAAGATAATATCAGTTAATGAAATAAAAAACTTAAAACACTTATCAACAAAGAAAAGCCCAGGTCCTGATGGATTCATGGCTGAATTCTACAGGAAATTAAGATTTAATGCCAATGCTACTCAAACTCTTTAATGAAATTGAAAGGGAAGCAATTCCCCCTAACTCATTCCTGGAGGCAAGTATTATTCTGATACCAAAACCAGAGAAAGAACTAACCAAAACTGAGAACTACAGATCAATTTCACAAATGAATATAGATGCAAAAATCTGCAATAAAATACTGTCAAACAGAATGTAGCAAATTATCAAGAAGATTATAAACATGACCAAGTAGGATTCATCCCATGAATGCAGGGATATTTCAACATATCAAAATCAATAAGTGTAATACAGCATATCAACAAAGCCAAAGATAAAAATCAAATGGTCATCTCAATAGATGCAAAAAAATCTTTTGATAAAGTTTAACACTCATTTATGATGAAAAAAAAACTACAGAAAATCATTATCAGTGGTCTTTACCTCAATCTGATAAAAGCCATCTATGACAAACCAACATCCAATGTCACAGTAAATAGACAAAAACTGAAAGCCTCCACTCTAAAGCCAGGAAGAAGACAAGGATGTCCACTATCACCACTTCTATCTAGTATAGTTTTGGAAACATCAGCCAGAGCAATTAGACAAGAGAGAGAAATAAAGAATAAGGATAAGAAAGGAAGAAGTTAAATTATCATGATTTGCAGATGAAATGGTACTCTATATAGAAGTTTATGTTCCCTAAAACTCCACCCAAAGACTCCTAACATTAATAAGAAAACTCAGTAACATAGCTGGATACAAAGTCAACACTCAAAAAATAAGCATTCCTGTACAGAAACAACAAACTCACTGAGAGAAAAATTAGAGAAACAACACACTTCACAATAGCATCCAAAAAAATGAAGTACTTAGGAATCAATCTAACAAAGGAAGTAAATGGTCTATATATTGAAAATTACAGTACTCTGAAAAAGCAGATGGAATAGAAGTTCAGAAAATGGAAAGATATCCCTTGCTCATGGGTAGGAAAAAACAACACTGTGAAAATGGCCATACTCCCAAAACTGTTACACAGATTTAATGAAATCTCAATCTAAATAGCATCAGCGTACCTCATGCATCTAGAGAAAATATTCCTAATATACAGAAGATAACTAAAATAGCAAAGGCAACCCTGGAAAACAAAGGCAAGGCAGGAGATATTACAATCCATGACTTGAAACTATACTACAAAGCTACTGTGATAATATTAGCATAGTACCAGCAAAAAAGCAGACCTGAGGATCAGTGGAACAGATTAGAAGATTCAGACACAACTACAAACACACTCAGCCACCTTATCTTTGACAAAGGGGCCAAACACGTTCACTGGAAGAAAGACAGACTCTTTCACAAATGGTGCTGCAAAAACTGGTTTTCCACAGGCTAAAGACTAAAACTAGACCCATGTCTGTCACCACACACTAAGCTAAAGTTGAAGTGGATCAAAGATCTAAATATTAAAACAGAAACACTAAGTCTACTGGAAGAGAAAGTAGGTGGAAATGTTGAAGACATAGGTGTAGGCAGAAAGTGCATGAACAAAAACCTAACTGCACAGGAAGTACTTCAAAGAATCAACAACTGGGATCTCATCTTATTGAAAAGTTTATGCACATCAAAAGAAATCACCAACAGAGTAAAAAGAAAACCCAGAAATTGGGAAAAAATTTTAGTTAACGTCCCTCAGACAAAGGAATTCTATCTAGAACATACAGAATACTGAAGAAATTCAGGCCTCCAAAATTGAATGACCCAATCCAAAAGTGGGCATTTGAGATGACTACACCCTTCTCAGATGAAGAAATACAAATGGCAAATAAGTACATGAAAAAATGTTCAACATCATTGGTCATTCAAGAAATGCAAATTAAAACAACACTGAAATTCCACCTCACCCCAGAAAGAATGTCTATTATGAAAAATCAACCAAACCAAATGCTGGTGGGGCTCTGGGTAAAAGGTACACTTTTCCACTGTTGGTGGGAGTATGGACTGGTACAACCACTGTGGAAATCAGTGTGGAGATTCCTCAAAAAACTAGGACTAGAGGTCCCATTTGACCCAGCTATTCCCTTTCTGGGTATTTTCCCAGAAGAATTAAAAACATCATACCACAGTGATATATATGCACTCATGTTTATAGCAGCACAATTTGTAAGCTAAATCTTGGAAAGAATCCAAATGCCCATCAGCTGAGGAATGGATAAATAATATGTAGTATTTTTATATAGTGGAGTATTACTCAGCTATAAAGAAGGATATCTTTGAGGCTTGTATAAGTAAATGGATGCAACTCAAGAGAATACTCATAAGTGAAATAAATCAGACTCACGTGTCATATTGTCCCCCTAATGTAACAAACTAAAAGAGTAAATAGGATCCAAAATGTACAATAGATATTGTACAAGGGAAAGAAACTGCTCCAAAGGAAAGAAAAACTGAGATGTGGGAAAAGAGAAAAGTAAGCAAAAAGAAAAAATATATGTAATATATAATATATATATATATATTATATATATACACACACACAATAGCTAAGCTAAATTATACTAATAACTTCTATTAGTTCAGTGAAAGGAACAGATTGTGTTTATATTGTTTGATCAATTGTGCATGCCTATATCTTATAATCTGAGCAATATTTTGAAGATAACTATATGCAATATAATAAGCATTGTTAATCTCCTATCACGTTGTTTTGAAACTCTTGTTTTTTTCCTCTCTTTAAAATAAAAAAAAAGAATCAATCTACATGGTCACTAGTCAAGCACATGCTAGCCAGGATGCTGATCCCAAATGAACAGTAGACACCAATTCCAAAGCTTAGATCTGACCAAAAAAGTAAAGAAAAATGTCTTCATTGAACATCAGTAATTCCAGTTTGCTCTTTGAATTCTAAACTGACTTCTTTGGCTTTCCTTCTCTTAACGTATAATATTTCTCTCTCACACTTAACATCATACTCCCAGAGCAATTCTTTTAAAAAGACTCACCAAAAATCTCTACCTAGATTTCTTGAATATATATTCATCACACACTTGTTTCAGGTGTTACATGATAAACTGTTTGACAGAAAAGTCTGGAGTCCCTGAGCCCAAGATGCAGCACTATCAGCAAATCCAAGTATTCCCATTGTAGGGATATGCTTTTACAGTTAAATAAATTATGAAAGTCAGGTGAATAACTCCTTTTTATTCAGTGGTTCTTGATTTCACAGCAGCAAACAGGATAGGAAACAAGAATTGAGTACTCCACTTGGATGTTTTTTTTAACGGAGGGAGAAAAAAAATCCCACCACTCTGAACACTTAAAAATAGTTAAAGCCATACCATTTCCTTCGGAAAGAAAAGATTTTTATGAAGTGTGACCATTCTCTCAAAGGAGCCAGAAACCTGCTTTCCATCTTCTTATTAAGTCACCACATTTCCTCCATGAGTCAAGTTCACTGGCTCATTCTGAAAGGAACATACAATGACCTTCCCTTTACCGCAGCAGCTGTGGTTCTAGAGTAGAACTTACAATGTACTTGTTCTTTCTGACTTCATGGCTGAAAACAGAAGTGTCTATACTGAGCCACTTTAACATATAGAGACAAATTTATACAATGAAAATAAAGCTTGTTCTTCAAAGCTGCCACTTGGGATTTTCACACTTACTCAAAAGACATGGTCATTATTCAAAACCATTTTTGGAAATCTGCTCTGGGTATTGCCTCTGAAAGAAAGTCAGGCTCAATTATGTAACTCCATATACAGTTTTTGACTATAGTTTTTGATTGAAAATGTCATTTCCTAACTTAATCATTTACTTGATAGTAAACCACTTTTGTTTGAAAAAATGGAGCCCATTCTCCAAAGACAAAGATTTGCTACCATTGAGAATTAAAAGAATATACACTCAACTTTCAATACCTTCATCAGGGCATTGGTTCTATGATCCTAAAGGATACCAATAAACTGCTAATGCTCAAATCTTTTACCTAAAGTGGCATAGCATTTACATATAACCTATGCACATTTAAAGAGTATGCTTTAAATCATAAAGCAAAGCAATGCCCAGCAATGCAATGTAAATGCAGTGTAAATAGTCATTATACTGCAGCTTAGGGGAAAATGACAAGGAAAAATGTCTTTACATATTCAGTACAGACAGAATTTTTTTAAAAAAATTTTGATCCATGTTGTTTGATCACAGCTAGAATCTGGAACCCATGCATGCAGAGACCCGATGCTGTAACAGATCTTGAAGGCAATTAAGCAGAGGAATTCCAACCTCATGCAAGTGCCTCGCTGGAATATGTGAACAACTTCCTAGTGTTAACCTGGGAGAAAATCACATGTAACTGGGGATAAAAGCTGTAATATGAGGGCTAACGAAAAGAACCCCCAAAACTAACCCTATTACTCTATAATTTCATATAGAAAACCTAATTATATGCTTCTGTGCTCTTACTACTTTAAATTCAGAAAGATGTGACTTTTCCAACATTCCTAGTAAAAAATTTTTTTTCATTGGAAATTTCATTTTTACTTAACTCTAAAGTAATAGAAATTTATTATGAACTCACACTAATTGAAGAGATAAATTAATCTTACCTAAAATATTTTCTCTCAAATATCAAAAAAAATCCACTTAGACATATAACCAAATGTTATTTAATATCTTAAAAAGTAACACAATCCAAAATGGATATTTCACACAACACTACATAAACAACATGAACACAATATTACCATATGGAGGGACTTTCAAATATAGACTTACAAAAATCCCTGTCCTTTTTTTTTCTTTTAAGTTATTATACTAAGCATGACAAGTAATCATCATTTACAATATGGTACACTGACACGATAAAAACCATGTTACAAATGTGCTGTTATAAATCAGTAACATTAGGGAAGACATTTCATGAACTGTAATTATTTCATATGAAATACTATACAATATAAACAGAACATCCATCTTGGATGACCTTTACAGCAACCAGAGACCAAGTAATTTAAATTTTTTTCAGTGCAAACACATTTTATTCAAGGCAGTCTTGGCTGCAAAACTCCTTTCTAACATACAGTAAATCCCACTTGCACTTCTTAATTCATTTATCCTAATGCAATAGTCACAGTCACTCAGAGAAAGATACCTGCAGAATTATGATTCCTTTAAACTTGACATTTAAATTTGATTCTTCCAGAAAGTAGTATCTATGTCAACTGCTCTAAGGACTTTTTTTGTAGCTGTCAATATTTAACATGAAGGTGACTGCAGGGCAGCTCTATTCCTAATCAGCGTGTGTGCACAGGACTGCACAGTATTGCTGTGCCCTTCCAACGTGGAAACTGTGGTGCTGTCAGATCTAGGTGAGGGGATGGGAGGCAGGCAGGGACGGTGCCCTCAGAGGAAGGGCTGCTGAGTGTGTACTGCTTATTAACTTCCCACAACTCCAAAGGAGTACTATCGGAAGAGAGCCCAGGGACCATTTTTTGATGGGAGCAAGGGAATGAGGGTATCCAGGTCAACCTTTGGGCAGGGAGGTAAGCAGCTGCACGTGAACCAGCCAAGTTTCTAACCTTGCATTACTGCCACCTTTCCAGAGTCATCGCTGCCTCATTTGGAAACACACTGGTACAGTGAGTGTGTGTGTGTGTGCTCACATGTGAAGCCAACAATCAGCAATTAAAGCCTTTAACTGATAATATACAATCATAAGAAGAGTTATTTCCCCTTGAGCTTTGTAGAATTCTGGATCATCAACTGTAAGTCACAGCACAACTATAAAAACATAGGATTATGTCTTAGAGGAGCAATCACTGGGGAATCTCTCTCTGGGATGCTGCTGGAAAAGATGCAGAGATTAACTCAATCAGGGAGATGCCAATGCCTGTTTCAAACACATAAGGAAATTTAATAATACGTTTTTCATAAGTATAATCTACAAAATGTCTCCTAAATAAAAATCTACGGGAATATATTTGATGTATCCTTAATACTATAAAGCCTTCTGTAAGAGGGATGGGGTAACAGCTGATTCTTTTATCTCACTTGGCAAAGCTCAGACTGATAGTAATCTCTTTCCTGCCCATATTTTACTGACCCAAAGCAAAGCAATGTTTCCCTTGGCTTTTGCATACATTTTTCTTGTGTTCTAGTCCCAAATGTGTGCAGAAGAGTTCCCCACTAACATAAGAGCACCGGCAGCTTTGACAATGGGCAGGATGGTACTACCATAGGAGGGTGGAAGAGGGCAGTAATCATTTCTTGGGTCCACTGTGGTCTGACAGCACATTGTCAACTGGTTTTGGGATTGGCCTGTGGTAATAGAAAAGATCCCGGTCAAGGATCTTATATCTCCTAATTTGAGAACACACTTAGAACTGGATTGGCTCTGTTGGAAACCCAGATCCTACAAAGTAGGATGACACATGAATTTCTACAGATCTATGGAGCACTGTAAAGAGTACTTAATAAAGTTTTTAATTAAAATTTCTGTTTCAGCACCTTCCACTGCCTGGAGAAGCCATGTTCCTGAAGATGGTATTTTTAGCACAGGATTACAGAAACCCAATGTGAAACTATAAACAAGGCAGATTGCTGGATCTGCCTTGGATTGCAACGGCATTTGGATTTGTCAATCTGCTAATCTCCCACTTTGTAATTCAAATATCAGGAAGGTGTGCTGAGCTGTAAGATTCCAAACACCCTGAAGTTTCTGAATGAAAATGGACAAAGGTGTAAAACTGTATTGGTTTTCTTTGACTTTATTAGCACACAACAGAAAAATAGCATTGTATTTAGTGATTTCTCATGATGGTCTATTAAACAGATAGAAAATAGATCAATGATAGCTGCCACTGTATTTGTTGATAACTTAAGTCACTCCTTTTGTTTACTCATTTCAAGTATGGGTATTACAAGTATGACCTACCTTGTTAGCTATTTGTGAATCTAATGCTTTGGAAGTACTTTGAGATCCCCTAATGGACGGTGCAACATGATTTTCAGTTGTTACTGGATTTTAAGTCAAGCTCTGAATTCTACCCACGTTATAAATGAGACTTTTCCAAAAATGATCGCTATTTTATTGTGAGAAATACGTCTATCATTTAAGCTAAAAACTTTATTTTCAAGTACACTTGGTGGTGATAAGTAGTTTACCCTGGGTAGAATTTACAAAGCTGTGCCAACCTAAAATGAGTATGGTACTTCCATTCTCATGGAACAGGTTTCTTCTCTGGATGGTGACTAGAATAGAATTTAAATTTACATTTTAGAAATGCTGGCTGGGTTATGAAAAGAGAGACTGGAGAACAGCTGGTGTTCAGATCATTGTTACTCTAGATTAACTTTCAATTTATGCTTCTTGAACTTGAGCTCCCCAAGATCAGGGAAGCAGTCATTTGTTATTTTTATCCAGCTAGTCCCCTTTTGGCTTTTCTATTTGTTTTCTCTATTGGATGCACCCCCTTTTCATATGTTCATTAAGGTCCCCTGAGATGTGCAAAACATATTAAATGGAATACAAATTACTTAACAGAAATCATGGAATGCATGGCACAGCTCTTTTAATGAAAGAGAAATTGGGGCTTAGTAGGGGAGCATGCGATCAAGGCAGAGAGGACCAAAGTGCTTCAGAGTTGGCAGTTCAAATTTTTTGTTCTGTCTTCTGTTACTGAAAACCTAGCAATCAAACCAGATTTCTATAGGAGTAAACAGCTTGCCAAATTATGTTTACCAACTGGCCCTTTGCCAGAGAGAACTTTTAGCAGGAATGGAGAAGAGAGAAGACAAGAAGTTTTAGACTTTCATTTGCGACAAAAGCAAGTGTGCTTTCATGGGGGAGAGAGAAGAATACAGGGTTACAGCTGGAAGTCAAAGAATGCTGTGAAAGAAAACCATGACAATGAAAAAGTCATGAGTCCACATAGGCCATCATTGACACACACACACAATCCCATGGCCTCATGTTGAAGCAAGTTTTAAACGTTGCTTTTCTGAACAATACACTTTAACACACTGCTGCCATATAATCAAATTCATGGAGGTAGTTATATGTAAAAATAAAAATTACCATAAAGTAATATGCTGTATCATAATAATACATAAGTGTGCAAAATGCCGACAGATGTGTTGACCCCTTAAAGTTGAACACCTCACAGAGATTCAACCAGATTCAGTTTTGTAAACCTTTCAGTTGATAAATTCTAAGACTAGATAAGCAGTCATGTAACACAAAGCTATGGTTTTGCTGGAGGAAAAGAACATTGGCAAAGCTTGGAGAGGGCCCAAGGATGTGGACATCAAAAGCCTCACCAACTGGGTGAGGCCATCTTGGACATGCACCTTTGTCACATGTCACAAATCACATTTGTCATGCACTTCCCGCCACTACTCCTCCTCCATTCAAGAATCCAGATTAGATTCAGATAAGGGTATTTCTATGTGGGACATCTGCTTATATGGTATATCATCTTTAAAGTCCACCATTTCTATGCTAATGGCTGTTGGTCTAAGGGAGTTTTCATTTAAAAAATCATGTACCCCAAGCATCAAGCAAATAGCATACATATTTTATTTGAATAATGTCTTCTGTAAACCTATTTCTTTTGAAATATCAATAAATTCATACCTTAAAGCTTCTCTTAAATGTAATGATTTCCTTTCCTGCTCACATAGTATTTGATTATTTCAATGGCTACTTTCAGAAAGTCAACCAGAGGCTCATGTGTTGCATGAATGGTCATATTATTTATGAAGTGAGTATGATAAAAATTTGAGAGCAGGTTTTTTTAAAACCTGAATTTAGACAGAAAAACTTAATAACTGTATGGTATACAACTCCCCAAGGAAACAGACTATGTAGTCTACTAGATATATTTTCATTCCTTCTGGACATATTTAAGCAATGAAATAATTTCTGAGCAACTGAGGCATGCCTTGGAGGAATAAGGCATGATATTGAAAACTGACTGACTTAAGCATTTCAATGATGTGGCAATTTACTAAGAAGCATGCTTAAATTTTACTATAATAAGCTCCCCCAAAAAACTCAAACCAAACCTGAGAAACCCAGTTTGACCCAATGCTATTTCCAAGTAGATGATAAAGCATGAGAGAGAATTCATGTTTTAAGAATTTGACTACTTATCTCCCTTGCTTAAATGGATTGCTAGTGATTAAACCTAATATGGAAGCAGAAGTGTCATATACATTTTACGCCAATTTTTAAAATCTGAAGTGACAAAATTTTATACACATACTTTATATGTATATATGCACATATACATGTATATGTGCATATATATATATATCATTTACAGTGCACGCCAACTAGCACATGCTTCTTAAAACTAAATGCAACTTTACGTCAGACCATTTACTTGGGTCAAAGGTAACCCTTCCATAATTCATTTTCCATTATCCACAGATATATTCCATTGTTCTGAGAAAGTAAAACTTAGGAATGTCTCTTTCCTAGAACACTAGAGTTTAAATGTTTGCAACCCTTTTGCTGTTGAGCCTTCTTTGTATTGAACTTGACATCGTAAAACAAAGCAAAATGTTAAACTATTTTGAAATGAGTTGGGCTAATTATTATACATCCACCTAAAAAAAGCCTCCTGAAATCAGTTACAAAGTATCTGTAAACATTACTCTGGCATAGTTCATGTATGCATAACAGTTATCACAATAGATTTTAGGGGAGTACAAATTATGATTATACCACATTAGCAGAATGAGCACATTCTGTTGTTTATTACATGGGCACATGTATATTTCTAATCAAAAATTACTTTAAAAGTTTTCTCTATAGATATCTTCCCAGGAATAAAAGGCCTGAAGTTCAACTCTCCCTAAATTTGCTCTTTCCTATCACCACGAAAAATTATCTTCCACAGCCTAATTTAGGCACTCTATTTAAAACTACATAAAATAGATTTATATCCTTCCATTAGAAAGAATAACATCCTCAGGCCATACTCTTCATTTGTATCACAAAGAACATTTTGCTTTTAAACAAACTAATTATTATATCTACTATAGTAAGATAGGATCGTCGTAAGTTTCACAAGGAGGAAATCATCTTCCTTCAGTATTTGATTAATATTGATACCTTTTAAAAGTCCACATTACCTCTTCCATCACTTACTGCTGTGCCCCAGCCAGATTAGCAATTCCCTTCCTTTGTCCACTTCAGATTCAAAGGCCTATATTCCTGTTTGTGATTATGGAAGGTTAAAAATCAAGACAAGCATCTGTTACACTTGAAAGCGAAATTCTGAAAATACTCCCAGTATTTCCATCCCAACCCTTCTGACACACTTCCATGGGCTCCTGGAAAATAGTGTCACAAAAACTCACAGTGAAAAATGACTGGTGCATAAACAACTCACACACAAAGGGCTGGGTCCTTTCTGCTTAGTTTGGCATTGACTTCCCTCAAGGTGGACCCTTGCATTTGACATTTTGTGGTAGCTTGGGGTTTGGGTTTTTTTTTTAAGTGTCAAGGATCAGTTCTGTGGCCCCATTTAACCACAGACTGGGAGCAACTCGCATCTGTGGCATTTTAAAATGGAATTGGCAACTGCATGACATTGAAAATGCATACTCCACTTACAGTGTCTAGACTTTCCTATGTGTGCTCAGATACAATTAGTGAAGCAAAAGTATACATATCACCCCTACTGCTATTCGGTTGCTACAGAGCCATAAATGTGAAAAGCAATACTCTGAAATAAAGATTTCTTTTTTGCCCTAGCCTATTTAGCAGCACAGCTTAAGTAGACCCCAAAACTGTGCCTGAGATGCTTGTCTTTCTGAAGATGTAAACATCAGTCCCAGTGTCGTAAACTTTGCTGTATCGAATGAGACAGAAGATCTGAGGCAGAAGGACTATCACACACTAGTAACAGAAGCTTGCAAGCAGTTGGATGGTTTCTGTAGTTTCTCAGCTTCACTGGTTGGGGGATCCGTATTTGCGCGGAAGTTGAAGGCTGGACCAGCTCCACCGTGGGCTGGACTCAAAGCAGGATTCTGACGACGGTTACTTTCAACAATGCTTGATGTGTTGGAAGCCAGGCTCTCTCGAGTACTAAAAGAGTAAAAAGGGTTGGTTTTGTTTTGCTTTGCATATAAATAATTATATATTGAGCCCCAGAGGAAGAGCAAATGATGTAGTTAATGGATTTCCTCTGTTGGTTCATCTCCACTGATTATTAGCATATGCTCTTCCAACCAGGGCTCCAGGAGCTCTGATGAGACACGTTGCAATCAGCAGCACAGTGAATGAATAAACGGTTTCTAAACAGCCAAATGTACTTTGAAATAGCTCTCCCTTCTTTTCCCATTTACAGAAACTACTTCAAAATTTGATATGAAAGGTAACTATCACACTATCTTTAAAATGAATAATCATACCTGTGGAATGATTTCATTTCAGGCTGCAAATTCATGGGCATAACTGCTCCTTGGAGAGAGTCAATGATTTGACTCTCTCAATTCCATTTTTATCTCTGATTAGGAGATTCTGACTTTGGTGGACTCCAAGCATGCCACTGGCTTATGTGGTACACTGATGAGGATAAAATCTTTTGAAACACTTGACAACTCTGTTTCAAATTTTAACATGTTAGTTAAAACCCAGTATTTTCAGATAAAGGACCTCAGATGTTTTTTCCTATTTATTTCTGCCTTCCTTTGGTAGAACTCTTTCATTTTAAAGAATTCGTACAAAACAGAGGTAATTTAAAAGCTTTTATTATTTCAATTTCTCTTTTAATTTTTTAAAATAAGGAATACTTGGATCTATTTTAAGAGAGTTAGAACATTTCACATTTCAAAGATGTAGGGCAACAGTTGAGCTAAGATCTACTGGGCCTCACTGGGGAACTGAATGAGTTTCTTTCAGATCCTCAAAAGTAGCTGTAAGGAACTTAGCAACTTCCACAGAGATTGAGAAAGCCAGTTTTTCTCCGCAACCACCTGAGTAGATTCAAACTTCAGAAAATATTCTGGGAGTGTCCATCCTGACATAAGGGTGCTAAAGCTAGTCAACAGATCAATTCACTGTACTGGAGACATCTTCTCCTCCCCTCTTTCATTCCCATTCTAAATGGATATAAATTCTGTCTGAATCCTATACTTTGGCAGCCTTTCTAAAAGGCTACCTAACACTAATCCCTAGGGGTTCTGAGTTTTACTTCTTACCAGTTGTTTAAAGTACAGTTTATTCAACTACAAAAATGATCACTGTACCCTTCTTCACCTCCAGAACTAGAATAAACCTACAGAAATAAGTCAAGTTCTTTCCTTAGGCTTTTGCTAAGTCTGGGTAAACCTAAAGAATACTTCAAAATGTCATCACTCATGGGACAGAAGGTGCCAGACTCATCTACTTAGCTTCCTGACATTTTCCCCAAGAAAATTCTTTAGTGGCCTGTCAAAGCTACACCTGAGACCCGGAGGGTGGAAGGGATCAGGATAAAGAAAGGGCAATGGACATGTAGGACCCTAAAGATTTCACAACATATTCCTTCAGTGTTATTCTCAATCATGATATTAACTTTTACGTTATTTGACTTCCTCACATCTGCAGTGGGGAGAGTGATGATGTGATTTACCTCCTCACAGGATGACCATGAAGAAGTACGCATCAACAAAGAATCTGTCTAATGAAAAGCTAGAGAAATGTAAATTACCCCTGTTACACATCTAGCATACTTTTTAAGTATGCTAGCCAGTGGGGGTTGTGTTGGAAATCTATACATTAGTAATGACATCTTTTGTATGGGAAAATGCATCTTTAAGGCCCAAATGGTATAATTTTAAACTGGCTTTTGAGGGATGGGCTTAACATTTGTTGAACACATGCTGTATGCCAGGCAGGGTCCCAGGTATTATATGCATATATCATGACAATAGATCATCTAAATTGGGACTTGTGTCTGCTGTGTGATGACTTTAAGCACCTTTGACCACTTCTAATACACTGATAGTGGTAAATTCAGACAGTATTCCAATTTCTCTGAAGAATATTTCATTTCTATTTTAACAGTGAGTAGTCTGTGACATACTGAAGATTCTGAACAAGCTGACGAAAATTAATGGAGATGAATTTTCAAATATTCCTGAAATTTAATTCAGTACAAATATTCCTGAAATTTTACTTTTTTGAATGAGAGATGATGGTATGTAACCTTAAAAATAAGATTTCAGGATTTTACAGACAGGAGAAGTGAACCAAGTAGCTCTGTTGCTCATCCTTCTGGCCACGTTTTCCCCGGGCCCAGGATTCCACAGCACGGACACAGGCTGCGCTGGCAGCCTATGCTCTCTCTGATTTTCATATTGTGTTACTTAACCAGTGTTCGCCTTAGATTTGGAATAGCAGGCTTTTCATACCAAGACTTTTCATTTTCCTTATGAGATCTTCCAGGATAGCTCAGGTGTCTACCCTTTAACCTTTCTAATATCCTTTAGTTTTGAACAAAAGAGACTAAAGGATTTTGGAAATGTGGTTGAACAGCACACATGGGTCAACACAGAAACCTCTGGGTTTCTGTCACCTTTTTTGGTTGAGTCTTAATTTCTTAGTGAATTATTATACTGTAAGATCCAAATAAAAGGCCCACTTAAGATTCCCAAGTCTCACAGGAGTGGGAAGGTACCAGCATGGTAAGGTCGTTTAGCTAAAATACTACTCATTTTGAAAACTCTGAATCCAATATTTTCTTTTGCAGATCTTCAAGCATTAGAAAGGAAACTTATTCTTTTGCGTGTGGTGCTGGGAATCAAACCCAGGGCCTTGTGCATGCAAGGCAAGAATTCTACCACTGAACCACATCCCCAGCCAGAAAAGCAGCTTTCTTTATTGAGGTGTACAGAAAAAAAGTTGTCCATCTAGCTTCTAACCAAAGGATATTAAATATGACAGCAGTAAAATCAGTATTTTTAAATTCTCTAACTGCATAAAATTTATGGGTAATTTACATATTCCTGAAGAAAAAAACTCTCCCTTGAATCAGTGGTCAGATGTGATGAATGTATGAAATCCATCTCTTCAGAAGAAAGTTTACCTTCTCCCATGAAAATCATTTAACTTTTAAGTACATTATCTTAAAATAAAAACAAACTTACTTCAAGAAATAATCCCAGTCATAAGTTCTATGTTCCATACTCCAAGTTTTGAGATAATATATTCTGTGGAGATACTGGTTCAACTATCTCATGAATATTTCCATTTATCCATATGCAAACAAATACTTGCTTTTTTCGTTTGTTTGTTTTTTGTTTTTCTTCCGGTACCAGGAATCGAACTCATGACCTTGCGCTTGCCAGGCAGGCATTTTGCCACTAAGCTAAATCCCCAGCCCCACAAACAAATACTTTCAATATTATGCAGAAGTAGGTTTTGAGGTAGAAGCCACCTTACTGGCCCCAGCGTCTCTTTAGTAACACTGTCTATAGAGTTTTGCAGGTACTGCCTGTGAAAGTCTAGAGACCAAGAAGGGGACGTGAAGGGTTAGAAATAACTGTCTGAAAAGCATTAGGCAGTAGAGTCTACATAATAAGAAACAGTAGAATATAAAGATACAGGCAAATGAACCACATCTTCCATAAAGGACGGCTTTGAAATTTTATCACAGACTACAGACTGACCTTCAGTTACGCTATCTGGGAGCCACTATTAGATATCAAGAGGAAAAAAGTGTAGAGCAGGAAAAGAGGTTAAAAAAAGAATAGAGAAAATAAATTAGAAAACAAATTAAGACTTAACTTGGAATAAACAATTATTTAAGAAAATAGTTTCTTAGAAAGGTCATTAAATAGACCAGTGTTTTTTTGACTGGATGTCAAGGCTCCCTGAGGTCTCTCAGAGTTCAGCAAGGACAAGTAAGAGAGATCTGGGATTCCTGGGACACATGTTAACTTGGAAAAAAGGTTACAGGACCAAGTAATCATCATAATCATCATCATCATCATCACCACCACCAAGAACTAGGCCTTTGTAAAATAATAAAGGCATAATATGGGACAGATTAATAATTCCCAATTCTGACTTGGGATGTTGTGTCTCCAAATTATCCAAACATATGGTGAAATGATCTAACAAATTTAAATTTAATTCTTCATAATTACAAAAAAATATATAATATACATAATCCTACTTGTTAAAATTATTAGTATTGTTAAGATCTTGACAATCACTGATAAGAAATGTCCATCTCTCAGTAGTATTTCTGCATCTCAGAATCACCAATCTGGAGTAGAATTTAGAAGGAGGTTTAAGACCCAAGCTGCCCTTTAAGGAGAAGAGTTAAGGAGGAATAAGGAAGTTTCAGAGACTCAGTTTGCTTTGTAACCTCTGAACAACGTCAGTGCTTTGGGCCCCTCAGCCTTTATATCCTCTCAGTTTTCATCTGCAAGGAACTACCAGCACCTACAAAAAGGAACTTACTGTGATAACAGCTAAATGGCTAATATGGCTGTATCAGTACTACAGCAGGAGAGAGAAAAGCTGGCACCTGTTTTGATCTAACAAAGCACAGGCCTCTAGCTTTTCTGTGAGAGGAACAAGTTTCCATTTCCCTGAGGACAGGGGTGTGAGTGATGGAAAAAAGTATGTGACAAAGTGGGGCAGGCACACAAAGGAGAGATTAAAACGGTAGCAAGCACCTAGCTCTTCAAGGTTCTGAAACTCGCTGCTATACCTTCACTAGAGAATGGCATCCTAGTAGTGCTCCAAATGCCCACCCCCCACCTCCCACTGACTATTCATTCTATTTAAAAGTTACTCATTCTGAAGGACTTTAAAAATCCCCTCTCTTAGCATGGTGGCAATATAAATAGAAATTTAGAAACACTGGGAAGTGTTGGTCTTTTTAGTCTGAACTGATGCAAGTTTGAGGGAAGGAGCCAACCCACCAGTCCAGATTGGTGATCTCTACAGCTGCAGAAACATTTTTTTTTCAATTCCTGAAAAAGAAGTCAGAAAGAGGTTGTTAACAATACAATTCAAAGAACTCTTAACCCTTATTCACAAAACTGAGACTGTGAAATGGAAGCCCCTGGCCCTGACAAGTGTGTGTGTGTGTGTGTGTGTATGTAGAAAAATAACTCTCCCTACCGTGGGGAGTTGAATCCACTGTCCACAGTGATGCTGCTACTGTCCATACTGTCGAGCCGGGCTGAATGGGTAGCTCTCTGGTTGCTGCTGCTGTCTGTTTCTTTCGGGGCAAGGAGGGTGAGGTTCTTCTCAAATTTCCTCTGCAAGTCTCTTTCCTTCTCCCTCTCGAGGAGCCACTGCATGGTGCCTACATCATCTCTATTTTTCTCCTCCTCTGTGTTTTTATTCGCCCCTTCCTCAGAGTCATCATCATCGGAGACATTGTAATAGTCAAAAGAAGCTTCCTGGTTCCCTCCTGACTCCTGCTGACGCTGGGAGGTGGGCATGGCTTGTGCTGCCGAGGTCCCCAGAGAAGGTTCCAGTTTCTCGCATCGGCCTGACATTGTGTCAGCAGGCGTCTTCGGGTGAGATTTAAGGAGGGACAGGCTCGATTTGTGGTAGCTGTTTACAGACAAGGTGCTGTGAAGAGGTTTGAACAGTGTGTCTTTGCTGAATATCTCTTTCCTCTTATCCAGGCTGCTGGGCTCAGCGCCATGGTGCTGGACCAGGCGTCCATTGGCAATCCCTTCAGCCACTCCGCCCGAAGTGGCAGGGCCCACACCTGGTCCTTTTGGGGATTCTTCCTTGTGTACAACAGGCTCCCTGGAGGAATGGGGGGCCTGCCTATCAGATGGAGACAACTTTTTTACCCCTTCCACCAGGGTCAGTGTGTCATGGTCCTCCTTATTCTTCCCTAGAGGCGATGGTGCCGTGAGCACTGTCTCACTGGAGGTGTTGCACTGGAAGTAGTCATCTGCAGCTGTTTTTGTGGGGCAAGAGTTGAGTTCACCGTAGGACGGCAAACTCTCGGGGGGTTTGCCTGGGTCCAAAAGGCTACAAGCACTGGAAGGTTCCTTGCCACTACTGACTACTTCTGGAATACATACCTCTTTATAGCTTGTGGACGAAATGTGAGCCCTTTGATGGCCAACAGCCTGTGCAGGCCGTAAAGTACTGTCATCAATGTAAGACTGGCTAGGGGTCTGGTCATCTTGGCTACAGCCCTCAGCCAGGTCTTCAGGCGTGCCGAGAGAAGACGCACCCAGGGGTCCTTTGGAGTTATCCATTGATCTGGATCTCTCCTTGGCTTTGTTGGATCTCTCATTCCTGGACCTTCGGTCCTGAGTATGGCTGTGGCTTCGGTGTACTTTTGAGTGGGAGCTTCCCCTGGAAGGTTCTGGAAAAGGCATCTCAGTTCTCCTTTTGGCCAACTCTCCAGACACATCCCATTCTGGTGTCATGGGGAAATGGGACTCGATCACGTTGGCGTTGCTGTGCATGATGAAGTTGTCTCCTTTGTGTTCAATGATGAAGCAGCCCTCCCTGGGTGCCCTGGTCAGAGGGTCACAAAAATCATACTCTCTTTCACCAGGGATCTCCAGATGTGAACCATCTGAAGGGTCTCCTTTAGACACTCTTGTCTTGCTGTGTGACCGAGACTTCCCATGGGACTTCCGGTGAGTCCTACTCTTTTTGCTTCTTCCGCTGTGGTGAGCAGAGGATCCTGCTTTACTCCTATGTGCTTTTTCTTCTTCAAGTTTCTTCATCAGCGCTGTGTGTCTCATGACATTCTCCACAGTCAAGTCAGGGTTAATACGCCGAATGATCTCCATCTCCACTTCCCGAGGGATAGTTGTTGGTGTGTCCTCGTCTCGCAGGGGCCACTCCTCAGGAGGAAACTGGGCAGAAAAATTGGCTAGTTGTTTGGTCTTGTCTTTCTTAAAACTTAGCCGGAATAACTTGAGCCCAAACTTTTTTGACTGCTTTTCACTATCTTTAGGTTTTGAGAGAGTTTCTGTCTTATACGAAAAATTTACAGTACTTTTGCTCTTTTCAGTGGGTGGCACCTGGCATAGTGAAGGAGGGCAGTAAGGGTCTTTGCAGTCCTTGGCAGGTTTCCTCTGCAGAGTCGATGCGTGCATGCTGTGCACGTCTTCTCGGCAGCAGTGGCAAGAGTCGCAGTGGTTTCTGGGCAATGTCCTTTCCCTGACACAGCCTGAGGCAGAGGGCGTTATGGTTCCAGGTTGTGGAGAGGTACACTGAGACCTGTCAGGTATCCTCTCATCCAAATGGTACCATTTACTGTTAGTTCTTATGAGGGAAGGAGTTATGAAATAAGTCTGTGGGGTCACAATGAAATAGCCATCTGGAGTCGGATAGATTTTCCTTTCCCGTACCAGCGTATTCAGTGTGTGCCGTAAGATTTCTTGGCTCGGGGTTGGAACACCTAAAATCAAAAAGAAACACACTCATGAGAACTTAGCGGGAACGTGCTGTTGATTCCTGATGTTTAGAATTCTATTCATATTGCCAAGCTTCAAAGTGAAAGCAGAATCCAAAGGTATTTGTTTAGTGTAAATCCTAGTTTTCTCTTATAACTTCTGTAAATATGATTACCTATAGAATGAGAAAGTATAAAAACTGAAAGTAGGCTGGGGGTAAATTTCTATACTGTATGAAAAAACAGTATGGAAGGGAGAGCTGGAAGTTAGTGGAGTTAGACTGCTACTACTGTTACACGTCTTTACTAACCTTAACTGTGAAACAGACTATTTTTAAGTAAGATCAAAATTAAAAGATTGACATAATATGATATAAATTTACAGAAAAGGATTTTTCAACAAGAGCAACTAGGAAACCAAGGCTAGAAAAAGGTATCTTCGCATGTAAACAATTCTAATGTGTGTAGAGTCTACCATATTGGAACTCCTCTATATGCTTTTTTAATGGTTAATAACTTAATTTTATAAATTACTGCATATAAAAGGGCAATGAGACTTGACCACTGTCTATGATGTAACTTCTAGTTTTGAAACTCACTATGGCACCAGCTACAACCAGGAAAGAACATTCTCTGTCCGGCTGTAAGTCTAGGAGATGGAGGTGGTTTTCCTAGTTTGTAACAAGTGAGTTCCAATAAGCACACTCAGAAAGGAAAAGACACTGTGTCTGTTTAGTCACTATGTCCACAACTCCTATATTTGCTAGAATAGAAACACTCAGAAAAAAATGACAGATATTTCTTTGTGCATTGACTGATATTGTTCTCAAAGGGCTTTGTGTGCATTTTTATGTCTTCTCTACCTTAAGAGACAGAACTAAGGGTATATTCTTAAGAGAGTATAAATTTTCCAGGCTACAGCCCATTTACTTTATTTACTGGGCATTCTGCATTTCTTTATAGTTTATAAAATTGATCTGAGTAACAAAATTTGCAAATAGGTCAGGTCAAATCACAAATACTCCCAATATTCAGCTGTGTCTGAGCCATGAAAAAAGTCATTTCACATGGATCAACCCAATCCAACTAGGGCAGTTTGATGTGGAGACTGAGGCCTGAGTTATGAAGTCTAACTTCTACATCAAAAGCCCTGTTCTCACTGATGGCCAGTGTTCCTGGGTGAACTACTCAGCCCCTCTGTACTACCACTCCCATTATAATTTGGTTTGGGATGGCCCCAAATGTATTAAAGGACTGGTTTCCATCCTGACACTTTTGGGAGGGGATGAAAACTGTTCAAAGTAGAGGTTTCTAGGGGCATCAGGAGTGTACCCTTGAAGGAGCCTACAGGATCCCAGGCTTCTCCTCTCTCTCTTGCTTTCTGGCCATAAGGTGAGTGTTTTTGTTCCACTATGTGCTCCCACCATGGTGTGCTATCTTGCCACAGGCCTAAAAGTAATGATGCCAATTGAACAGGGGCTGAAACCCCTAAACCTGGGAGCCAAATTAAATTCTTTCTCTTTCTAAGTTATCTCAGATATCTGCTACAGTAATGAGAAGCTGACTAACACTTCTCTCCCAAATTCATATGCTGAAATCCAGACCCCTCAGTATCCCCTTCTGAGATCACTTGATTGAGAGATCAGATTTTTATAGTTATAGCCAAGTAAAATGAGATTATTAGGTAGGTCCTAATCCAATACAACTATGTCAATTTACGTAGAGACCTTTACAGAGAGAAGAGATACCACCAAGGAGAGATGCCTAGAGTAGATTCTTTCTGTACAGACCTCAGAAGGAATCAAACAACCTTTCTGACATTTTGACTTGGGACTTCTGGTCTTCAGAAATGTAAGATGATCAATTTCTGGTAAGTCGCCTGTACTTCAGAAATAGTAGCCCTTGCAAAGTAATGCAGCTGGCAACTTAATTTCTCTAAACCTCTGCTTGCTGACATGGAAATGTGGGTAACAATGGTACCTATCCTCATAGGGTCATTAAGAGTTTAAATGAGTTCAGTGCACGTGAACAGTGCTTGACACAAAGTGAGTGGTCATTAAACACTTAGTAGTAGTGTCGACTTTCGCTGATGTAATGATTGATACATTGTGTGCCACTCTGCCTTGCAGCCAGCTGATTACGGACTGAAAACTCCACAAACCGTGGGCTAAATAAACCTTTTCTTCCTTAATTTTGGATGGTAGCTATTTTGTCTCAGCAACGAGAGAAAAGTAAGCAACACAGCTGAGGACCCCTGCAAATCCAGATTACCTTCAAGGAATGTTGAGTAGCAATCCAGAACAGCTGGGTGAGCTGAAAAGTTTAGGCTCCCCCAGTTGTTCGAAAGCTACAAAAGTACCACACAAAGGCGTTGGAAATGGCCTGAATTCTTAAGCACAGAAGCTCCCTGAGAATGATGTGAAATATGCACCCATTTGTATTACCAACTTTACAAAGCACATTAGTGAGCAAGGCAGAAAAAATAACACTGCTCAAGGTTAATGTATTCCTTGAGGTAATTATTTAACTTCTGAGTTGCCCAGTTTTTTTAAAATCTAATGCTTATTGTTGATAAATGTACAATCTTGTGCAAATAATTTTAAGGCTAGTGTAGTAATTTTTTCTAACTTTGAGAAGCTTTCTGTACAATATAGAAATGCACAAGTATTGCAAGTTAATAGTGATATAACCCAAGCCCTACATATGCCATTCTTAGGCACCAACACAGAGCAAAAAATGGTTACACATAAGATAAGCAACTTAAAAAGAGCTCTGACATGCCACTAACAATCAGGGCCTTCTGGGGAATAACAGAAGACATATTCACATAGATAAGGACTCCAGAGAGGAGGACACACTTCCCACATTGTCGTCTCATGAATCATGCAGGTGTTAGCACAGTAATTAAGATTAACAAGCCCAGATGAAAAACTGACTACATCTCAAAGATTCATTTATAAGAATTCAAGATCACATAATGTGCCATGGTTGTTCATAAATAAAAGCTGAGGTTTAATTCACACGAATAGCCATGACATTAAAACAAACATTAAAGTATATTATATAATTTGCTGACTGTGGGCTTTCCATGAATGATCTTTAAAAAACTCATTAAACTACAAAGAATTATGACCATGGTGCAGTTATCTTTACCGACTACTAAGAACCAGTTCCTTCGCTTATTCCCAAATGAAGGGATAGAACTTCCATACAGAATCTGCATCTGTGCCTTTTACAGAGTCTTGGATTTTCAGGAGTACCACCCAAATAGTGCTTATTTTGAAGGGAAGAACCCATAAACATTCTTTTCTCCCCATCTGAACCACTTCCCAAATCTTTATCTTCAGTTTTTAAAGACCTAACTGGAAATTGCTGATATTTATGGTTATTATTTTATTATTAAGCCCTGGAATAGTGACTGATGCTTTCAATTGTAGACAAAATCCAGAGTTCTACCAGAAAACTGTAGGGCTGACCTGAAGAAGTAACAGATATTTGCATATTCCATCATTTTCAGATCACATCCGGGGTTATCCTGAGTTCAATTTTTGAATTCAGGTTTAAAGAACAGAGTTAAGCTTTATATTCTAACAGGGCTGAAGTCTGACCTCACTCCTTTTCCATACCTCTCCATTTCCCAAAGTAAAAATAGATATTTAAAGACACTGCACAGCAATGTGATGGTATGTAGACCGACACAGTGCTTTCATTGCTCAAGTCTGATCAACTGTGAGAACAAAGAGCACATGCACATGTTTCATACATTGAACATTTTTGATTGAAAATGGCTTGTTTTGTTTTTGGGTGACATGGTCACTACATTGCAGATACTGGCCTGGAATACCTGGACTCAAGTAATCCTCCTGCCTCAACCTTCTGAGTGGCTGGAAGTACGGAAGTGTCCAACTGCACCCAGCTGTAAACACATTTAGTGGGCTTCTTTTTTTTTTTTTTTTTTTTTTGTACCAGAAATCAAACTCAGGACCTTGCGCCTCGCAAGCAGGTGCTTATGCCACTGAGCTATATCCCTGGCCCCAGTGGGCTTCTTTAGATTATTCTTTGTGTTTGGGAAGAACACTGGACAAGGAAAAACACAGCAGGAGGAAATGGAAACAGAACATGGTATAGTCGTATTAACAATCCCCAGTAAATTCTAAAGTCAGCTTCCGGGCTGGGGATTTAGCTCAGCGGCACAGAGCCTGCCTGGCAAGTGCAAGGTCGTGAGTTCAATTCCTGGTACCAGAAACAAAACAAAACAAAACAAAAAACTCAAAGAAACAAAAATAAAGTCAGCTTCAACTCTACACCCAGACTTAGGGCTCTAATTCTATTTCCCTAAGATCAGCTTTCCTCCGAGGACAATCTAGTTCCAACAGTATAACAAGTATTAGCCTGATGGAAATGTTCCTTCCTGGATGAGTGAATGAATGAATAGTTCTTTAGAAACATGAGAGGCAAATATTTATTCTTTTTAAACTTTTTAAAAAATATTCTTGACACTGTACTAGAAACTGATATATAAAACTCACTGAGTTAGTCTGAAAAGAATTCTACCTATATAAGATGATAATAAGGTTTATTTTAGTGTATGAAACATTTTTACTAGAAAACTTTTCACTAAAAACTCACTAAAATACGGATGCTCAGAACCAAACAGGAGCTAAATTCTACACTGTTTTCTATTTATAGAGTACACATAAAATGAAAATTTAAATATTTTAATATTTGGAGTCCAAAACTTTATTTTCTAAAAGATTTTAAAATGTAAATACACTTACCTTTAAAAACATACAAATATGAGTATTATCACTATCACTGAAAACATTTTTCAAATAGAATTGAAAGCACTAAGTTTTCAAGAGTGTTTTTGTTCTGATATAGCTTAGTGATGAAAGGTGAAAATAATCAAAGGAAGAGAAGAAAAAAAAAGGAAGGAAAGAGATAAGCAGGAAGGCATCCCAGTACTAGTAAATTAGGAAAAAAAGGAAGGCAGACCGAAAACAAATCTCACTTTGTACAAAATATTAATTTAACATCTGGAGCTATTGCTGAACAAAATTTTACATAATTACCACCATGCCTCAGTCTAGGGGTCAGAAAACTTTTCTGTGAAGGTAGTAAATAGTCTAGTCTTTGTGAGGCATAACGTATCTGTTGCAAATACCCAACTCAGCCAGTGTAGCATAAAGAGCCAAAGAAAATGCAGGCAGGCATGGATGTGTTCCAAGACAACTTTGTCTATAAAAACAAGTGGTGGGACACTGTAGGCCACAGCTGATAAACCCCTGCCCCAGACTCAAGTTTGTGCAGTCTCCTTGCAAACTTCTGGAGTTGATCCATAGTCATCAGTGTCACACACATGAAAAAGCTGGAGTTAGGTCCTCTCAGTTCCTCTAAGATCAAGGCCTTGGGATTAAAGTTCACTTGCACAAAAGCTAGCAAGCCAGTTATGCTGTTAAGTATAAATAACATATGGACTTCTCAACAAACGATTCCAACTTAGTAATATTGTTATCAGCTGCTTCACAGGGACAAGCATCTTACTGTCACATATTGTCCCTGCATTCTCTCCATTCTTTATTTTATAGCTCCGTAGTGGGTGGTAGACATGTCACCCAAAAACAAAACAATTCTGAGAGAACCGTATGATCTTTCATGAAACTGTATAAAAATAAAAGGATTTTAAAGCTTCTGAGTTTGATATCCAAAGTATAAGGCAGGAAGAAGGGCTTCCCTTCACCAGAGACAGCTGGGCCAGTATCTTCTTTTCATATTTAAAAAAAAAAAGCAGAAATGTATTTTATTTATCAAATAATATTTTCTTACAACTCATCAAGCCATGCCACAAACACGCAGGATGTTTATTTTTAACATTATTTTTCTGTAGTTTAATCCCTTTGGACTAAAATCCTCAGTTGCTTCTGACTAGTCCCATTTTCATGTACTTGAGGAAGGTTAGCTTGCAAATGTTGAAGGAAATTCTGGTGATTTTTGCCCAGTTCTCTCTTTGGCTCAGCGCCAATTAAAAAAGTATTGCACCTCAAACAGTGAAATTACATTCGATGTAACACAGGTGCTTTGACTTTGAAGAACAAAAGAAAAGTTTCTGGTCAGTTTTCATGAAGAATGCCAGGCATGGTGGCACTCATCTGTAATTCCAGCACTCTGAAAGGATGAGTGTGGAGGATTGCAAGTTTGAGCCAAGTCCAGGCAACTTAGCAAGACTTTGTTCTAAAACAAGAAACAAAGGTAGGGTGGGGGGTTTTGGGGATGTAGCTTAGTATCAAAGCCCTGGGTTTAATCCCCAGTGCAGGTGAGAAAATCCAAAACTTCAGGAAGAGCAGTCTATTTAAAAGTTCTAGAGCCGCAGAGCATACCTGCATTTGGAAAAGACCCTGTTCTTTTCTCATTACCTGGGAAACATGTTGTCAGGTGTTCCATCAGTGCTTCCTGGGTGACGGGTTTTCTTGCCGAGTTCATTGCTGAGATGGCCAAGCAAAGGATTTCCCCGAGAGGAATAAACTGAGACTGACTGATGGGAGACATACTGATTGGTGATACATCACCTGCAGAAAGACAAAGTGAGCACTTCATTAAAACTTCCAGTCATTTGTCACAGACACATCTTCGCGCACGTGCACACACACACACACACACACACACACACATACACACACACACACCCTCCAGACAGTCCCCATCCCTTGGATTATGAATGCAATTAATTCTAAATACTGAAATTGGTGAAAAGACTTCCACACACAGTGGATGCCTCTACTGCCTTGACAAATAAAAGCTTCCTTTTGAAACCTGAGGTCTCACTGAAAGAGCACACTGAAAGTCCTGCAACAATGAAACTTTGAAAAGTGATTTCTGTTTTATTAACTCAGAGCTGATTTATTTAATAACTGCCATTCACATCTCAACAAATACATCTGTGGTAACTTGATGATTCATTCATTCAAATGTGGAGCGTGTTATGCGTCAGGCATTTGCCAGGAGACTGGAAACTGCGGACAGCAAGTGAGTCAGTCAGCTCCCCTCCTGCAAACATTTCTGCCCTCCAAGAGTTTCCATTTAAGTGAAGGAAACAGACAAGTTGATCAAAAGTCACTGTGCAGTGGGGCAAATGCACAAGCGGAAACTGAACAGTAAGTCTGAGATAGAGTGTTGGGGGCTGTCCCATCGCCTAGGGATGCAGTGGGGCTCAAAAGCTGAATGCTGTAAGGTTTTCCAAGGCCACACAGTCTGAATCCTGTATTAAGAACTAGGAGGGCCTGGTGGCTGGCAGGTGGGGGAGACATCAGGAGCAGGATCCACAAGGAAGTGTTTTCCAGGGAGTAGCAGAGAAGGGACACAGGTATGTAGGGACAACCATGAGGACACAGCTGAATGCCCTAGACCCTCATCCTATGAGGAACTGTAAACATGGGAGGAATTTAAGGAATGCGAAAGGCAGATGTGAGTATCAGGAAGATGACTGGTGGCCACATGGGTGAGGGACCAGAAGAGGGCAGATTACAGTGCACTAGAAGACTGACTACCTGTACACATGCCCACCAAACGGGACAATGGAGGAAGAAGAGGTTGAAGACCAACATCAAAAGGGTGACAGATGTGAGTCCTGAGGAAGTGTTCACCTGCAAGGCAAATACTGTGTCTGCTTCTGAAATCTTTACCCCATTGTGTGGGAATTGTCAAGGTATCTCTCAAGGTTCCCTAGGATTTTCAGGAGATTTTTGCTGTTGAGGTGATCCCAGGAGAGGGAGAGGTGGGGAGAGCAGGACAGCCTGCTCCCGACACCTGAGGGCCACCGGCTTTCTACCTTGGGGCTATTCTTACATTTCACTTGAGAAGATGTCCTACAGAAAGAAGACGAAAACTACCAACAGAGTATCTTTGAGCTCCGAATCTGCTTCCCACATGAACTTACATGATCTCTCTCTTCCTTGTTGCTTAAGCAAGATTTCTCCTGTAATAAACTATGATGACTCACGTCACACAGCTAGGTCAGCTTGTGGCATTAAGCAGCATTCTCCCCAGAAGACACACGTGGGTGCTCTGGAATGGACCAGCATCCACACTGTTGGGGCACTCAAAGTTATGCCCAGCCACAACCCCTAGCTTGCAGTGAGTACAGAGGTCCTTTGTGAAACAACTTGAATCTGGCTTTGAGGGGCTAAAAAGGGTAATGATTTGATGGATACAGTCAGGCAATAGGAGATTGCCTCATGGGGGATATTCCAGCAGGGGCATCACAGGAAGCAAAAGGACTCCAGTGTCCAAGTTAGAGGCCTGAACACCACTCTCCAAGCCCAGTGGAGTTCAGAGCTCCTTTCCTGCTGCACCACAAGGCTCCAATAGCCCTCCTGGGGCTCCAGTCTCTGCGATGGATGTGAAAGGAGTAAGGCATTGCCGCAGGAGCCAGAAGGAAGGCAAAGTACCCAAATTCAGAAAAGAAGGAGATCCAAGGATTTTAAAAGTCAACCGAAACTAGGAACTGATCTAACTTCGAATCCACAAATTTGGGGGATCTGTGAGATACAAATATCATAAAGAGAAGCCATCTGGGCCAGGGCCGGTGATGCAGGCCTGTACGTCCAGCACTCTGGGAGGCTAAGGCAGGCAGGAGGTGGCCTAGGCAACTTAGTGACTTAGCAAGACCCTGTCTAGGGTAGGGGGGATGGAGGTCTGCACAGAGAAACAGAGGGTGGGGGGAGAGAAGAGAGACAGAGAGAGAGAGAATGAGAGAGAGAGACATTCTCTGAAAAATCCCTACAGTAGCTGGTGGGTCAGCAGTAGGTGGAATCTAACTCATGGAATTTAAGGCTATTACTGGGAATGTGAGTTTTACTTACTGGCTGTGGAAACTCAATTCACATTGAGAACTTAATTAAAAATGACAGACTGTGGACTGGGACCATCTGAGGGAGCAAGTTTGCCACAGCCTCAAACAGTGTGCTTAAACCTTTTTAAAGAATTGGTGTATTCCATTCAAGCCAAATCTTATTGTCAAAGTCAATGTGTAGCAAACAAACCAGTGCTGGTATTCAACGGCAGCAGAGGTGGGGACCAGGAGCCACATCTGTTCAACCCTATCATCGCATGGGAAGCCCTGCAGCTCCGCCGTGGCCCCTTAGTAACTTTTAACCCTTCTGCAGCTCCTTGTTCCTCCCTCACCTCTACAGTAGAGGACAAGGGGCCCCAAGGCCAGCCTTCTTGCTAAGACCCTAGGGTAGCATTGGCCACGGTGATGCAAAGGCACCAGGGATGATTTTAAAAGTCAGATGAAAGGAAGGATGGGGGCCAGCTTGTTAAGGAGGAATTCAAAGCAGATTCCAGGACCCTTTGACTTACGTATCATTTGGAAGGCTACCACCTTCTGAAATTTATGCACCATGGCTAAGAACTTTGCAGATAACTAAAAATATAAAAGTATGAAACTATGATTTTAAAACTACAGGTCAGACGATTTCCTGATTTTGTATAGGTTATAAGAGGGAATCTTCGCTCTAAAAAAGTAATGACCATGAGCAAAACAAACCGCCTTGTGTCTTGCTTTATGTTTTTAGATGAAATGATTGGCTTAGTTCTGCTGCCAGCTGCTTAGTTAATTTCTTTTCATTCACTGCAGCCAACTGTAAGAGGGGACATGCTTTAAGTGTGTCTGAATTGCATGTGCCTGGAAAAAAACTCAGTTTCACCGTAATAATGAATATCAGCAGTAACTTTTACCTCAAGATACAGAGCAAAAATGGGATCTGGATGCTCTAAGTCACTACCTCCATGTCATCCTGTTTTTATACTTCACTGAGAGAAATGATTTTCACTCCCACCTCCACCAGCAGTTCTGTCTACTCTACACCCAAATGCTTCCTGAATCTGTTCCTTCAACTCTGGCTCCAGTGCTGCTGTTGCACTCCTGTCTCCCCACCCAACTCCACCACAAGCTTCCATATCTCTCACCATTATAATGACTTGAGGATGCTCAGTCTTCCTCCCTGCTCCTGAGATTGCATTCGCCACAGAGCAGTCAGGATCCTCTCAGGAAAAACAGAAAACACTTCCCTGCATAAAACTCTACAGTGGCCGCCTACTGCACTCAGGGGGAAGTCTTAGTCTGCACCAGAGCTGTCCACCTGCCTCTGAGGCTGCCCCTACCCCCCAGCTCCTTCCCTATCCACCCTCACAACCTCCTCTGACTTGTGAACATGCCAAACTTCTTCTGAACTCAGGCGTGACCTTTGTATTTTTTGTGTCCTTGGCCTGGGATGCTCCTTGATTGGAGTTTTAGAACTGGCTGCTTCTCATACTTTAGTTCTCAAGCAAAAAGTCATGCCCCCAGGGAGCCTTACCCTGATCTCAAAGTCTAATGCTGTTCCAACACAACTTGAGTTCACTGTCTTCACTCTCTGAACGTGTGTGTATGTGTTTGTGTTTCCTGGTTTACCATCTATTTCACCCACTAGAACATAAACTCCATGACAGCAGCAGGCATGAACTCCACAACCCCAGTACCTAAAATAATGCAGAGCTTTCAGAATATACCCAGTACATGCCACGCTTGTTGAATGAATGAATGAATGAATGATGAATGAATGAATACCCATTTATAACTTTTTAATACAATGAATTTCTCCAGGTATTTTAAAGTTTTGTGATTTTACATTTTGGGCTAAAACTGTAAAGCAAACAGAGACCAAATATACTTAATGATCCATCTAAAGACATCCTCTGATTAATTTTATCAATAATAGTCCCCTGAAAACACAGTAATTACCACAGAAAAATAATTATATATTAATTGAGGTTTAGAACATGTTTTTAAGAACTGTATTAATGGAATCATAGATATCTCTCAACAAAACATAACACAATTCAGGTTTACCAAGGTTTCCGTAGATCTTATTTCAACCTGCTTAATGAGCAACTAGTTATTCCTAAAATATGCTACTAGAAAATTCTTCCATCAGCTAAACCACATTTACATTTTCAAATAAGAAAATATTATTGATCACCATAATCTATAGAACCTACATAAACTATCATATTTTCTATAAATTATGAATTATCACTTACTTGTCTGGAGTATTCTATTGTTAAAATGAGTCCTGAACATATTCATGACAACTCGACTATAAGTTCACAGGTAGATATGGACTAATGAATTCTTTCTAAACTGCAACCATTCTGTCCTACCGTATCAAGAAAAAGGAAATAGGTTTCATTTTAACTTTATTTTCTTACCATTTAAGCAATCCTCAAAAGACATTTGTCAAATCTAGGATCATTCAGAAAGTAGCAAGAACAGCGCCTTGGACAGAGTTAAGCATTTAATAAATTTCTTTTAAATGAACTTAAAATGTGAAAAGACAAAAAATTGCAATGGTAGGTAAACTTCCATTTTAAGGACATTTAACATTTAAAGCAGGTCAGTGAAAATTTGGACACTGCTTTCGTGCAAAGTACTTTGTCAGGTAATCACAATGAGGAGAAAAATAAAATAGTGGGAAAATGGGTTCCCTAGACAAGAGCAGGAGAGAGCAGCAACCTCACAGACCAGAAA